CTTTTCTTGTTTACGTTGTTTTACATATTCCAAAAGAGGAGTGGTTGTAATTTTTTTTGGTGTATCTATAATAATAAAATAAATATATATAAATTTATAGATAAACATTGCATATATAATTCATGATACAACATATCAATTATTAAAAAATTACTTACTATCAGGTGGTTGATATGAGTATTCTGTTTTTGGTTGTGATATATTAGATTCAGCTTCTTGATTTTTACGAGTTTCTAAGAAGCTTATGTAATAAGGATCTGATTCTATTGTACCACATTTTAAATCTTTCTTTTTTCCTGTTCTTTTTTTTGGTAATCTTTGAAAAGGTGCAAATTCTACTACAGCTGGATATTCTGTACCTTTGGAGTCGATAAATACATAATTATCAAATTTTTCTCTGAACATAAAAATATCCTGTTGTTCAACAAAGTTAATATAAGCACGGGCAAAAGCATATTGTCCCATAGACATATCAGCTTTCACAAAATAAAGATAATCATTTTCTGGCAATGGAGAAACCTGTTCTAGAAATTGTTCTTGAGTCATAGTTGGAGGTAATCTCCGTATTACTACCTATAAATATATATTTTAGTTATTTTATTATTGATTAAAATTGAATTAATATATATTTAGACATTTTTATAATGAATATAAAAATTTATATAAATCATCATTATCATATGGACTAGACATTTTGTCATTTTTATTCAAAAAATAAGACAAAAAGATGTCACATGACATGTAGTTATGACATTTTCATTTTCAATAATAAAGTCATATTTATTGTTATATAAAACATATATATAATTTGCTATTTTTTATCTTTCAGATATCTTTATCTAATATATATCAAATAAACATATCTTTATCATATCTTTTTATCAAATTATGTTATAAATATTTCAAAAATCGAAAATTAAACTTCGATTTTTGTTTTACGCACATAATATTGTATATGGTTAAAGAATATTTTGTATAATTGATAAAAGACTTCTAAATATTTAGCATCATTTTAGAAAAATATACCTTTGTCATAGGTCGGCATTTTTCTTTTTTACTATCTTTAACTTTTCCAACATCTGGAGAACTAGTTTGTGCCTCATTTTGTGCGGCAGTCTCAGACTGTTGTGTTTCTTCAGTCATTGTCATCTACATTTATTTAATTTCTTAATAAATCAAGTTTATTTTGTGTCAATTCGACACACACACTCTAATCAAAAATAATATTTAAAGCATGTAATTTTTCTTCGAGTCATCAAAATAAACGTTTCCGTTTACAAAGTTTTCGCGGCCATCTTGTTTCACTAAATCGTAAGAAAGCTATTGGATAGAGAAAAATAAACTTTCATTCATTGGGGAATTTTAAAATACATACATCTAGGGAAATCAAAAAAAAAAAAAAATTTAATTTCTAAAATTACAATATTAAAAATTACGCTATCGAATTTGAATATTCAATTGTTTTTGATTAAAAATAGGGAAAATTTATCTAGAAATAAATTGTATTATGTAAAATTATACGAAAATATTTAAAATTCATAAAATAATTTATTGTCTACATTTTAAATATTTAAAATGATCAATGACATTTATATTGCATAATAATTTACAATATGATTAACAATATTTTTTAAGATTAGTTACAATTTAATATTAAATTATGCAAAAAAAAGCATAATAATAGAAAATATAAATGAATATATTTATATAAATATAATTTAATGATTTAATAAAAATTCATAGCCTTCTATAACTATCACGTTGTTGAGATTGAGATGCTGAAGTTAATGTTGAATAAATAAATGGTAAAATCGATGCTAATGCTAAACAAAGACCTATTACTGGTCGATACCATACCCAAGCAAAACCAATCACTAATAGACTAATAGACATTGATACAGACATTGTTAAAGATTCAACTGCAATAATTCCACATAAGAATGTTGAATTTAGAATTACAGTTCTTAATATATTTGCTAAACATGTTGCTGCCAAAAATAAAACTAACCAGCCAAGTCCTCTGAAATAGTTAGTAATTTTATGACAAAATATTTATAAAAAAAAAAAGAAATATCAGAATATATTATTTAAATTTTAAAAAAAAATTACCTAATACTCCATGTACGCCAATAATTGTGTACATGTTCAGAATGAAACATTTGATCTACTGACATTTTATGCCTCCTTTGAAGTAAAATTTCTTCTCCATGTGATGTAATATATGGTACAATAGTTCCTTTTTGCAACATACCAACTATAGAATATATATCTCCTCCTTTTCCTGCATAGGAGAATTGTATACGTATATCACCTACCTATAAATAAATGTGTGAATGTGTATGTATATTGCTTAATTTACTATAATTATATTACTATATTATAATAATATAACTTACTAATTAATATATGTAATTATATATGTAATTTATATATAATTTTAAATAATAACCTTAGGTTTCCATAAATTAGAACTATGATAATATAAACCAGAATGCATTTTAATATCTTTACGTTCAGGTCTTTCATCACTCGTAACTTCTACAAAATCATTAAATTTTTTTTTCAATTCAATCCCAAATATAAATGCACCAATCTTAACTTCATCTGCAACTTGTACTTGGCTTTTAATAGGCATTTCTTTTGGATTATGGTGACCAGTTCTAATATAAAAATGATCTGAATCAACAAGTTTATCTTTCCATTCTGTTGTATAATAATAATGTTTTTCTTCTTCTGTTATTCCTCCAAAACTAATATACAAAATTATAAATTATAGAATTGATTTATTATGAAAATATATTTTATAATTTACCTTCTTTCTTCTTCTATCTCAACCCATTGATACATTTGCACTCTTCGTTTTAATTTTACACTTGATACAATTACACCATAATCAGGTTCAGTTAATGGTTCTGATATTTTTAATGGACCTGATAAATGTATTAAACGACCTTCATATTCAGGTAATAATTTCATTGCATTTGGAAGTATAGCTACATTACGCAAAGCTTCATCCAAAGAATGTGCTACTTTCACTGCTCTCCCCTGTAATATTATCTAATCAAAAATTTTCTTTTTTAATTAATGATGAAATATTTACCTCATTCCAAAATAAAAGACACATGCCAGTTGCAAACATAATAAGTCCAATAATAGCAGTTAACCATGATTCTTTAAATTGTTCAGAAACTGTTATTGGAATATTTACAGGAGGAGGTTGCCTTCCATTAACTCGATTTTGATGAATAGGTTCAGTATTTGCCCTTTGGGGCTGTCCATTTTGCTAAAGCAAGTAATTTTTTATTTAAATTATTTAAATTATATAATAATATTAAATATTAAATATTAAATATTATAATAATATAATAATATTATAAAATATGTTAGATATATATTGAAATATTATATTTAGAAAAAATCAGAAAATTAAAAAAAATTTAAACGAAAAACGAATATAAAATTAATTATGCTTACATTTGCACGATACATTTTAATAGATTACATTATACAAAATGATAACATTTAATTGTTTGTAAAACTAATATTTAAAATACCATTTTATTTCACATAATTTCAAATAAATGTGTATATAATAATACAATTATACATTTTAATCGTGTCTGTTCTACTAATGTTCAAAATTAGACTATGAATATATATTGCTCAATTAATTTGATGTATTGCATAAAATATATTTCAGTTCATGCAATTGTATGTAAATCTTTATTCTAACTTTAATGATATTATAAATCACGTGCAAGGGCGTAAAAAATTATAATGATATTTGATCTATTTATTACTTATTGTATACAAGCCATCTTAATTCAACAAAACTTTTGTTTTTTTTCAATTTCTTATTATTTGATAAGATCGTTACGTATTACATCTCAGTGTAGCCATCTTGGATTTTTGAAAAAATCGTAGAGAAAAGTTGAAAATTCAGAATTTCAGATTTACGCATAGATTTTTTATAAATGTAAATTATAAGATTAATATATACACACATATATATAAAATGTTAGTATATTTATAAGACATTTTTAAAAAATCGATTTTAGAGATCAAAACATGAAAATTATAAAAAGGCATATAAAAATATCGATTGATTGCTTACTTATTAAGTTGTAAGTAATTTAATTAAATTTACGTTAAATAATGCAAGAATAAAATGGGACAACGGAAACCGGGTGGCTCTTATTTATATTTTATCTATGTTGTCTAACAAACTTCAATTGGTTATAACTTAATTAAATATTATTAAATCACATTTTTGTATATTAACTTTTATATTTTGGTTTCTAAAATTAATTTTTCAAAAGTATTCTATGAATATTGACATCCTATATATATTTTATTAATTATATTCTTATAATGGAGTATTAAAATTGATTATTTACAAGTTTTTTAAAAAATTGTTATAAAGAAAAATTCATAAAAGTAACAATAGCGCCCTCATTTATCACGCCCTCACTATCATCTTATTTGATCTTAATATTTAGATCAGTATTTGCAGTGAGTTGAAAGTGGAATGATTGTTTGTCATTATTCTGTAGTAATGTTTTTGTGAGTTATAAAGTTTACAAATTTTTTGATAATAAAGTCATTTAAGATTGTCATATATTAATGATCAACATAGACAATAAGTTCATAAAATTTTATTTCTTTAGATATTTTAAAAAAATAGAAAATTATATAAAATTTTATTAATTATAATATTGTATTATATTTAAATTTTAAAAAATAATAGTAAATAGTATTAATGAAATTAATTTTATAGGAAAATAAATATAAAATCAAAGTTCTAATGTGATAAAAAATAAATTATAATTCAAAATTACAAACATTTTAAAAGTTTGAAAATATAAAAATAATAAAATCAATTATTTATTATGATTATATTTATAATTTCTATATAATATAATAATATATGTGTATTTTAAATAATTTGAAAATAATAAATTATAATATGTGATAAATATATTAGTATGTGATAAAAAAAATATGTTGAAAAAAAAACAGAAAATATTGAAAACAACAAATATATTTCAAAAAATAAAATCAAAACAAAGAAGAAAAATATGTTATTAATATGAAGTGGATAATAATTTCATGTATTTTGTGCATATTTGGTTGTTTTAAAGAGTTCAGACCTTCAGAGTCTTTTGTAACTAATTATTTGACAGGACCATGGAAAAATTTTACAGATGATCAAGTAAATATGTTATATGTAATAATTATGTTTAATTATAAAAATTAATAAATATGTTTATTTATTTTAAAAATAAAATAAATTTTATATGTATTATTAATTTTTTTATTTTTAATAATTATTAAATAATATAACATATTTATGATAAAATTTTAAAATTAAGATTAAGATTAAAATTATCATTATTTTTTAGGTAAATCAAGAAATATTTCCTGTTTCCACATATTCATATTTTGCAACATTAGTTATTATATTTTTGATAACAGATTTTCTAAGATATAAGCCTATTATTATCTTATGTGGTATTTCTGGAGCTATTACTTTTCTTTTAATAATATTTGGACAAGATGTTTTAACTATGCAAATTTTAGAATTTTTTTATGGCTTATTTTTTTCCACAGAAGTAGCATATTATACATATATTTATGCTAAAGTTGATAAAAAACATTATCAAGAAGTAACTAGTCATACAAAAGCAGCATCATTATTTGGTCGCTGTATGGCTGGTATTGTTGCACAATTAACAGTATCTTTTGATATATTAGATTATCATCAATTAAATTACATTACATTAGCAGGTACTTATTTTTGTACATTTATTTAAATTTCCAATGAAATTAAAATTACAATTTTCATAATATAAAATAATAAAAATGATATATAAAACTTATATATTAAACTTTATTTATAATTATATATAATTAAATAAAAAAATTTTTTTATTTTTGCTAAATATTTTACAAAATTAAAAAAAATAATTTACAAAGAATGTATATAATTAATTTTATTTTTAATTTTATTTTATTTACTTAATATTATATATCTATTCTATTTAAAAATAATAAAAATTATAATTTGTTGAATTAAATTTTGAATTCATCAAATGAACTTATATTTTTCAGTTCTTATATTTGCAACATTGTGGGCATTTTTTTTACCTTCAGTTCCTCAATCCATTTATTTTCATAGAAAAAATGATAATCATATTTCTTTAACGCATAAGGAAGAAATTATACTGCAACAAAATAATATTAATCAAATATTTCAAAGATCTGAACAATCTAAGGAGTATTCTTCTTCTAAAATAAATATTTCATTGATATATAAAGTTAAAAAAGCTTATATTTTATTATGGAAAGATTTTTTAGGAGCATATTCAAATAGCCATGTAATAAAATGGTCGATATGGTGGTCATTTTCTACTTGTGGATACTTACAAGTTATTAGTTACATACAATTATTATGGAAAACTGCAGTATTACCTGAAGATAGAATTTATAATGGAGCTATAGATTTCTTATATACAATTATAGGTGAACAAATAAATTTATATAATTCATTAGATTAAAGATAAAGTAAAATAATATAATGAATAACAAATAACAATAATAATAATATGCTACTTTAAATTATATAAATAAGATTCAATATAGTTGTAATTTTTTTAAATAAATTTTTTATCATCTAAACATTTTATATATTTATACAATTTTAATATAATAATTATATATTAGATAATTAAGTTTATATAATAAGAATTATAATATTCTTATTTTTGTAAATTAGGTACAATCACTGTTTTCTGTATTGGAAAGATGCCATTAAATTGGTCTTTAATTGGAGATGTATTAGTATCATTTATGTCATTTGTGGAAGGTAGTTTGTTAGTGCTATCTTCATTTAATTACAATATTTGGTTATTATATGCTGCGTACATAATATTTGGAAACATTTATCATATAATGGTTACCATTGCAAGGTTTAGTTTCATATAAAATTATTTATTAAATATAATTAATCACATTATAATTTTATATGTACAATTTGTAGTTTTGAAGTTGCAAAATGTATATCAGAAGATAGTTATGGTTTAATATTTGGTGTGAATACCTTTTTTGCATTATTATTGCAAAGTTTATTAACAGCTATAGTAGTAAATGGAAATTTAAAATTAGATCTAAGATTACAGGTAAGACTGTTATTTAAATATTAATTAAAAATATGTATTATAATTATATAAATTATAATAATAGGACTCATAAAAATACATATGTAAAAAAGATTTTAATAAATATTAGATTGAGAATTTATATTAATATTTTACATTGGAAATTATTTATATTTGGTATTATTTGATTTATTTTGTTTCTATAATATTTGTTTTTTAGCTATTTGTTTAGCTATTATAATATTTGTTTAGCTATTTGTTTAAAATAATTTCCTATTTATTAAATTTAATTATTAATTTTGTATATATTGTGAATATATGATTTAGTAGTTATATTTTATTTATTAGTGTATTCCAACTTATAATAATATTATTAACTTCCACAAGTGTCATATTTGATAATGCAATTATTTATACAATGTTAATGTTTTTGAACTTTAACAGCAATATTGAATTATTATTTAATAATATTAATTTAATATAATGCAAAATTTAATAAATTATATATTTTTTTATAATATAAATTATCAGAAGATTTCTGATAAGAAGAATTTTCTCAAGTATTTACAGAATAAAAAAACTGTAATGATGATATCATTAATTTATTTGAAGAATACGAAATAATTTACAAAATCTCTTTAATATTTCAATTTCACAGATACAATTCATATATTTTTTCATATTGATATTTATATATATATCATTTATAGTGATTTTGATATATATTTTGGTAAAAAAATGTTAACTCCATCGATTAATTTAAATTAACTTTGTTTTTTTATATTTTTTTATAAATAAAAATATATTTTTTGCAAAAAACCAACTTCAATTTATTAGAATAATTATTAACTTTACAATTTATTACAATTGATTGTAATAATATATTCCATTTAGTTGCGTAAATTACGGGTACATCGACACTAAATGAGTCTTTTGATAATATAAAATATCTCATAATAAAAATAAATAATAATTTATTACATTAATAAAAAATTATTATATTTTTTTAAAACATCGCTATAAAATGCATAATTTAAAACATACAACATTTTTTTTAGAAAATTATTTTTGCATATTAGTTCTATTTTACTGGAGCATATATAGTTATTTTATTTTTTTATAAAATTGTTTATTTTTTTGATTTATTAAATTTTTCTTAATATAAATAAATATATTGAAATAATAATATAATAAGAAACAAAAATATATATATGATATTTAATAATTGGCCATATTTGATTATTTTGTTATTTTATTATTGTTATAAAAAATGGTATCATAAAATTATGAATTAAAAAAATTTTGATATTAGCAAACAACTTTTCAAATACATATTGATTAAAATTTTTACATTTCTTTTTATGAGTTCTATTAATGAATTAAATTTTTATCTGTAATATTACTATATATTTAGTATCTTACTATATATTTTTTTTCAGTATTTTGTTTATGGTGGTTATTTTATTGTTATATCAATATTTTATACAATAATAGGTATTATAAACATTATACAACATTGTAAGAAAGGTATAGGTTTTAAAATATGGAAAAACGTTAGCAGAGGTATTGAAGATTAAATAATTTAGTAAAATTATTAAATTCTAATTTATATTGTAATTTTTAAAAATATAACGAATAAAAATTTATTTTAAAAATTTATAACAGAGTCACTTAGATATATAATAATTAAAAATAGTTTATCAAATTGCAATATCAGTTTTTATAATATAAATTTTAACAAATTTTAATTAATTTTAATTATATTTTTAATAAGTTTAAATGTTAAAAATATCAAATGAATTTTTTGATTTCAACATCTGGTTGATTTTGACTATTTTTATGTATTATCATATATCAATATTGATAAAACTTATACATTATTACTTTAATATCCATTTCTAATTTTTTCTTATGTATATTATATTATAATATGAAATAAAGAAAACTATTAAATTAGATGATAAATTAATAAAAATTAATAAAAAAATACGATAGAAAATATATAAGCACATTATAGATATTTAAATTGTGGTATATGATTGTATAAATGTAAAAATGACAAATATATGTACATCTAACAAATATAAAAAATATATAAATTTTATTCTTTATTAAAAAATATTTTTATAAGATATTTTTAATATTCTTTTTCCATTCTTTTCCAATTATCCTTTTACTTCAATTTAGATAATATTTTATTCTTCTTTTGTGGTAATTAACAGTAATTTTACTTTATCCAAAACAGATTCTCTGCATTTCTGAAAAAATAAAATAATTCTTTATAATAAAAATTGTTTTTATTTAATTTATTTAAGTTACTTTTTTTTTTTTTATTATTTAGAAAATTGCTTACAGACGAGAACGTTTGAAACAAACATCTTCCTAATTCGCGACGAGGATTTGCATTCTTGTTAAAATGTTTGAATAATTTCCACCATACTAAACAATCTTGTATACTTTGTTTGAATTCCTGATTGAATATATCATCCATTGTATCATTTCGTATTATAGATATAACAGATTTCATTGATTCATTTTCGATGACTTTCGAAAACATACAAGGATAATTGTTACAATCGCTTATATGCGACTGCAATTTATCCAATAACAATGTATCTTTTAAGCAAATTTGTAACATCTGCATAAAAAATTAAAAAATGATAATTACTAAAGAATTCTAATTTTTAAAATTTTATGTATCTATATTTATTTAAATATTTTATATTTTTATTTTTAATTATATTACAAATTATTCATATGCAATTATAAATAAATTACATATGCATATTTTTATATTATCTCAAATAATAAAAAATTTATGCGATCAATAATAATATTATATACATGTACATCTAGCATGCATATATATACATATATGTATAGATGTATTTACCCAATTTGGTGAAATCAGTACAGGATATATTTCATAAAGACTTCTATTTGATTTATCAAAATATATTAAATTTGTATTAGCATCTTGTGCCATAGCCGCATTCGATATTTTAGAAATATATAATGATAAGATTAATAGTACTTCTATGTCATATAATTACACAAAATTGTGATAAGTTCTTCAAATAATATTTGAAAGGTTATTTAATATATCGATAATTGTATACTTACTATGATGATATAAAAATATTGTACTCAATAATGTTATTAACATTATAAAAATATTTCTTAAAGTTTGAAAATTTTGTCATGGAATTAGTAATTGTAGGCAAATAAATAATAAACTATACATGATATAAAAAAAATATTGATTTTTATTAAAATCTAATCGATTTAAATTTAGTATGTAAATTATGTAGTATGTAATATCGAGTAAATTCATTCAATAAATATAGAAATATTTATAATTATAAATAATTTTCAATTGATAGTATAGATATAACTATTTTATTTATTACAATGCAATATGATTATGCATGATGATTTTCAGGTATTTAAAATTAAATTTATATTATAAATAAATTTAGATAAATTTAATATGAATATTTTTTTTAAATGTTAATTTTAAAATAATATAATAAATAAATAAAATATTATAATAAAAATGTTACTTTATGTATATCTTTGTAGTTACAGTTAATTAGTATCATAATACTAATTAATTTTATAAAATACTATGATGATGATACTAATATTTTATTGAAATATTACATTATTTTTTATTTTTTTTATATCTTTTTAAAGATATAAAATAATTATGTAAAAAATAATTTAATGAAATGCAAATTAAAAAGAGATTGTATTACATTAATTTTTTGATTGCATCGAGAACGATAGATTCGCAAGCTTTTGTAACTTGTTGCGTTAAACATGACCCTATTTCTTGAAGACAAGATAATTCCATTCGATCTCCTGCTAGAGGATATTCTTCTAAATTATTGATGTGAGGATTTTTCACCATTGTTAAACGTAATCGATTAAGTTTGGATTCTTCTTCCGGATTTAATGATTCTAGAAAATCGATAATTAATATAATAGTAATAATTATATAAAAATTTTTTTAATATTTCTGATTAAAAGATTAAAATTATTTTATTTTTTTTTATATATCTGATATTGGAAATTATTAAGTAAGAATAATTTAATATGAATATATTTAAAATTTTTATGAAATATAAAAAGTTTAAAAATTAATTAATTAATAATAAATTATAATATCAAAGTAATGATATTATTATCAATACTATATATATATATATATATTCAATTATTATTGAATAAATTTTTTCTAATTTACATTAGATTCTATTATAATTATTATAAGATTATTTAATTTATTGTTATATTATTTATTATTATATTATTTTTTTATTATTTATACTTTTATTTTCAAGTTCTGTAATCTCGTTCGTCAATTTTTGTCGAATAACTTGCACTTTTTTTGCTCGTCTCTTTTTCTCTATTTCCTCATCGTGTATCTTTTCTATTTTCTTCTTTAAATTTTTCTTTAAATTTTTCTGTGTTATTTTCGAATCTTTCGAATATTTATTTTCGAATATTTTCGAATTTTTTTTTGATCTTTTTTCTCTATTTTTTATCTTTGATAAAAAGAAACATTATAGAAAATTGTATATTTTTAAAAAAAATTATATTCAAGTTATTCGATCGACTTACATCAATATTCAATCGCATTTGAATTAATCTATTGTCTTGAAATTGTTTATACTTTTGCCATAATTTACCACAAATTTCGGCTGCATGAAGCATTTTTAATCTTAATCCGCGATTCGAAAGAGTTTGAAATAAAGAGACAATTTTTCCCATATTATAATCATCTCGTCCTCCACCCTGTAAAAAAGATTATTTATTTAATTTATTTACAATTAATAAAAAGATTATTTATATATCAACTATATAAAAATATTTCTTTCATAAGTTTAAATATTTTTATAAAAAAAAATACATTAACAATAATATTGACTTTTTTATTTAATAATTTTTTTAATAAGAGAAATAAAAATTTGTTATTGATCGACTTACATTTATTTTTGAAAAACTCGTAAGATCTATTTTGAATAAATGAATTCAAGTTTTACGGAATAATAAGTATTTAATAAACAAAATACTAATAAAATATTCGAAATAAAGAATTCTTTTTATATTTAGAAAATGAAACAAGTACTTGAATTCTATTTTTTTAATCATATCTTTTAATATATGAATTTGCATAAAAATCTGAAATCTATTTATAAATTACGAATATTGTATTCACGAATATTGATTTTTACCAATTCGATAAATGTGCAATCCCAATCAGTACCATCATATTGGCATTGCATAGTTGCTTTTTCAACATCTTCAGTAATCTCAGTATGTTTCATACAATATGTAAGGACCCAACTTTGAGGTATATTGATCACAGGCAAGATTCTCCAAATTTTATTTGTAATATTCTCTAACATATTCAATGAGCTTCTATTGTTGGTAGATACTTCCATGAGTTCCATATCCGGAGGAAGCGTCGTCTCAGTAGGATCTTCATTATTCTGAAATAAAGCATTAATTTATATTACATTTTAACAAATTGTTAATTAATTTTTAATCATTAAAAATCATAAAATTAACTTGTAATTTTTTCAAATGATTATAGCTTTTGACAGATTTGAAAAATATAAATATCACACATGTGATGAAAATTGTATATTTTAGCATGGAAGGATAAAATTCTTGAAAAGTATTTGTACATGATGTACAAACATTGTAATAAATAATAATTTATTTAGTTAAATTTTAGTAGAACTATTTAAAATGTTATGAATTAGTAAATATCTAGGTTACAAATTATTAGTTTTTATTTAAACTCTGTAACGAAGTTATATATTCTTAATTATTATCGATTATTTGTATATAATATTGAATCAGCAATTTCGCAATAAATATCATCGTAATTGCCAGTAAGTAAGAGAAGTAAAGAGAAATTTTCATTAGTAGAAAATTATAATTACTATTATAATTTTATTAAAAAATTATATTAAGATAATCTCTATTCTTGATTAAGTAAATATTTTATTATCAATTAAATTCGAAATTTTTGTTTACAATATTCTATTACATTATACAAATTTGGAAATTTTTTTTTTAAATGAATTTAATTAAATCAAAGTTGTGCTATTTAAAAAATTGGGTGGAAATAAAATGTTTACGTAACAAGATTCGAATAATTTTTATTGAAATATAAAATCAAGAATTCGTGAAAAATTTGTTTCATAATCAATTGATTTATATAGAAATTCTATTATTTCTTAAGTTTTACGAATTTGATAAAGATCTCTTTCTTATGATATGTATTTAAACTAATCCTTAACTTTGTATTCTTGCAAGCAGAGTAAGTATGTAAAATATTTATTCTTTATATAGGTATATTTTTATGTGAGAAATGAGAAATAGAAATGCAATTGATTTTAATAAAAGATTAATTGAATTAATTGCATTTTTCATAAAACTAAATAACAAATTAAATTTTTGCTTGAAAAATTACTTATAGATGAATAACTTTAATTCTTGGATCTTCATGAATCAAAATTTAAAAATCGTTGCTTTTAAATGAAGAAAAATAAGAATTTTTTTGATAACTGATAATACAATAAATAATAAACGTTATATATGATATTGGCTGTTTACAAAAAACATTATTTTCTATGAATTGAATATCAATGGAATTTATCAATGCAAATTGATTTTTAATATATTTTTAATATTTTTAAAATACATAATTTATAATATAATATATTTTGATATAGATTGCAATATTTATGTATAATAAACATTCAAACGTTTTAATTATTATGAATAGTAATTAATAATATTATTATTTTATATATATATGATGTATGTATATATTATATACATACATTTTTATTATGTATATTTTTATTATATGTATATTTATGCATAAGCATGATAAATCGTTAGATAATTATTAGAAAATAATTATTGTTAGGTAAATATTATTATCTCGTTTAATAATTTAGATAAAGTTATTACATATATTAAATAAATATTTCAGATAATATATATACAGATTACATATATTAGATAAAGTTATATATAATATTATATATATTATGATATAAATATATCAATTAAACTTATTAAAATAAAATATTTTTTCATTGCACTTTTAAATCATTATGTCAATTAGTTTTAATTAATTTAGATATTTATTTTTCCATCATTTGTTATCATTCTCTTTTGTTCATTCTATAAATAATTTCGTAAATTATATTTACATCCTCGATAAACGTGGTTTTTTTATTTCAAATCAAAACATTATTTAGAGATTTAATCTTTTAAATATAATTTATTTTAATATAAAATTATATTTTATGTGCACAGAATAATGTACAGTATTTTAAATTTATAGGATTATATTAATTAGATTGAGTAACAAGTTTGCTCTAAACAAAGATTAAATGTTATTTATTTAAATAAAAATATATTTAATATTATTATATATATTTAAGTAAAATAACATTTTATTATGTTCTCAATAATTTTTTTTTAAATTTATATAATAAATTATTTTGAAGATTTTTCAATTTTATAAATATTTTATATAAATATTAAAGGTATATAAAATAAAATTTAATAAATACTTGATAATCATTTTATAAAAAAATATAATTTCTGTTTTTTTTAAAAATATGATATGATATAATTATTTATATAAAATGCATGCAAAAAATGTATGATATAATGTCTCATGTGACAAAAAATATTCTGTAAATTTTTAAATTTTCATGTACAGAATAAAAAAATTTAAATATGCTATTTAAGATTTTCTTATTGTAGATAATGCTTAAATGTTAAATAGTAAATTAATTATTTTCATTTATTCATTTGATTATTTAATATTTCAGCGATGAATTAATTCATATAAATAAATATTTATTTAAAATATGTAGTCTAAATCTAAAAATTTAATGAAAGGTGATAATATCATATTTGAAACGTTAATCATGAAATATCAAGTTAGTGTTATCATATCTAGGTTTTTTATAACATGACATTTATAACATTAGCTTTGTATTATAGCAAGTGACATTGATAAATGTATTGATTCTACATGACACATGAGAATGGATATTAGAGTGATATGAAGATAGCATGTATCATATTAATGCTTGATAAGCACGATATAATCGATAAATTTTTAATTCTTTTTTTTATAAAAAATATAAAATAAAATATATTCAGAAACATATCATATATTTTTAATAGTTTAAATATTAAATTTATATAGTATGTTTCAATATAATATTCATCTCTTTTAGAATAAATATCTCAAAAAAGATATACAAAAGATATAGAAATGTTTCAGAAAAATGTACGAAATCAAAGAGATCGTATCATTTATTTTATTTTCCGATTCACGTCATCTTATTCATTTTACATTAAAGTTCTAGAATAGTTAATTACGCATCATATCAATTAATGCATGATTAATTATATAATTATATATAAAATGATATAATATATGACGTTGTTTTTATAATTTTTTCCGCCTAGATCCAAAACAAGCGATATTGCAAATGATACTATACAATAATAGGTTTACCTAGGCGTTTCTAGTAAAATTATTATAATTACTTATAATAAGTTTCAATTTACATTTTAAATGCTAATTTTAATGCGCGTACTGTGCAAAATCAATTTCTTCAAAGATATATTAACTTTGAAAGTTAATATTTCGGAAATAGTTTATGAAAAAAATACGTTTATGTAATATTTTTAAAAAAATTTGACACAAAGTATAATAATATATAATAAAAAATATAAAATTTAAAATTCTTTAAAATTATAACAAAATAAGATAAATAACAATGTCTGTTCTCCTTGATAAGATATTCTTTTGTTAAAATATTTTTTTGTATTTTTCGTATTTTTGAAGATATTTGTCTTAAGAATTTAAAATAGAATACTTTGTATATAATATATATATATTAAATAAAATTTATTCTTCAAATTATAAGCAATTTAATTTTACACTAAGAACGCCTATATGTAGATAACAGGGCTAACATCAGCGATTGCATCTTATATCGATATAGCACAATTTATGATGGCGCTACATTACAGGCAGAAGAGATATAGCGCCATCACACAAAGCTACAATTAAATTAATAATAATTTTACATGGTAATTCTATTTAACTGTATTATCTTAATAACAAAAAAAACTTTGTTATTAATGTTTTTGAAAAAAATAAGAATTATATAATATAAAATATATTTTCTATTATATAACACTATATTATTATTAATGCAATAATGAACTTAATAATGAATTTTATTTTTCAATGCGTTACAATTAATTAAGTATAAAAGGAAAACGTTGTAAGTTGGAATTTCCAGATTCTTCATTAACATCTATTCATAATTTCATAATAAAATAAGTTTCTCTCAAAGTGAATCATAAACGTCAAAAAAACTTTTTCTGCAATAGCAGATAAAATATCATAATTAAAATATCTTATTATTTCTATAAAAGATTGCAATTTCAAGATTCATTGTCTCTCATATAATAATAATAATAAAATATAGTTTATCATATAGTTTATACTAAGTTTAAATTATAATTATATTATAATTTACATTAAAAGAAAAAGATACAATAAAAATTTAAAAAAAATTTAAACAATAAAAATTCTACTTCAAATATAGAAATCTTTTAAAGAGATAATTATAAAAATTATGAAAGATTATATCATGAGTTAGAATCGTTTAATTAAATCTGACTAGTCTCAAGATGGATCTCTTAATTGCTCTTATTGTGCCATCATTTGATCTTTTAATAATTTTGACCTGGTAATTATTCTTGAGAATTCGCGAAGAAAATAATTCCTTTCGATTCGCTTTCTCTGGCTATTGGCCAACGAAGTGTGAAACGAAACTAATTTCATTTCTTGACATCAAATAAATTTCAAAAGGAAAAAGAAAATTTGAGAGAGAAAATTCATTAATTCTTTGAGGATATATAATTTTTGTCTATGATTTGTTTCTGGATATGTATTATACCTCGAACGATTCAATTCGACAAGCATTTTCTTTTTGATACTCTTGAAAGTCAAAAATTAAATTTCAAAGCTTTTTTGTATAATTTATCAACAAGTAATTAATATTATTAATTGGTAAATTATTATGCAAATCTGAAAAAATTTTACTAATAATATTACTTCAATTGCAAAATATATTAAGCTCTAAACATAATAATATAATCTTTGGTAAAACTCATATTATCTCAGATGTATAATAAGCATAGAAAAAAAAATAAAAATAAAAATACAAGATAATCGAAATATATTTATTATAAAATATTTTCTCAAAAGCTAAAGAAGAATTCGATTTTTTTTTAATTAAAATAATTGAGAGTAATTTTGTAATTACTCTCATTTTAATTTTCAGAATGATTTTACAGTGCAGATATCTTATCATAAAAAAATTGTGATATTGTTTGAGTTTAGTTTGACATATATATCTATTTGATTCAACTTTTTCTTGATACAATTACTAATAGTCTTCAAATAATGACAAATAATATGTGCACATTAACAAGTTAAAAAGATATCATTAGATATTGTGAATAAATGAAGACTTTTAGAGTTGATTAAAAAATTACGTAAATAGTTAAACAATATTATTTTTATTACAATATAAATTTTATTACAAAACTAAAAATAAAAATTATATTGATGATATTT